GCAGGCGAGAATCCCGTGGACCCATGTACCGACGTACGATATGCTAAAAGGCATTGGGGAAGCACCTCATCCCATAACTCCGGTGACGATCTGCTGACAAACGACTGCAAGATGGCTTTAATAGTTCTGTTTGTTCTTTCTACGAGGCCGTTACCTTCTGGGTGATAGGCAGTGGTGTGTGTCTTCTTGATTCCTAATAGCCGGCATATCTCAGTAATGAGGTGGCTTTCAAAGGATGGACCTTGGTCGGAGTGGAGCGAGACAGGGGCACCATAACGGGAGACCCAGTGATCGATGAAAGCTCGGGCAACAGTAAGGGCGTCTTGCTGTGGAAGGGGTACAGCTTCGCACCATTTAGTGAAATAATCCACCATAACCAGTATGTAGCGGTTCCCGTTTTTTGTCGTAGTTAGTGGTCCCATGATGTCTATACCAACTCGCTGATGTGGTCCTGTCGTTACCATCGGCGTCATTGGTGCACGGGGTGTCTGCTGAGGCGATTTAAAACGGCAGCACGTGTTACAATTCTTGCAAAACTGAGCTACATCTTCGTGTATGGAAGGCCACCAAAAGCGTTGACGGACAGCGTGTTCAGTTCTCCGTTCTCCCGCATGACCAAGTTCACGGTGTACCTGTTCCACAATACTTTCAACTTTCACTCGCGGTACTATCAGTAGGGGTTGTTTTGATTCATTCATTAGGAATAATGTGTCACCATATAGCTTGAAGTTACCCCATTTGGTGCAGATACGACGAGTTGTTACGGATTGATCTTTAAGCTCCCTCATGGATGGCTTACTATTTCCATGTAGCTGTCTTCGATAAACAATCTGTAAGTCTGGATCTGCTGCTTATAGGGAGGGCCAGTCTGTCTCTGGAGCTGTACTAAGAATTGCGTCAATAATATCTGTGGTCTGGGGTATTCGGGAGAGGGCATCAGCGTTTGCATGTCGATTTCCCGGTCGATACTCGCATGTGATATCGAACTCTTGTAGTCTCTCCTGCCAGCGTGCCACTTCCCCTTCTGGTTCGCGGAAAGAGCGGAGCCACTGCAGTGCACGGTGATCCGTGCGCACACGAAAGGGTTTGCCCAGCAGATAATGGCGAAAATGTTGTAAGAATTTTACTAGTGCTAACATCTCCCGACGTGTTGTAGAATATCGTGCTTCACTCTTATCTAGTCGTCGACTAGCATACGCAATGAACCTTTCGTGTCCATCTCGAGCCACTTGTGATAAAACTGCTCCAATAGCCGAGGAACTAGCATCCGTATCAAGTATAAATTCGCCTCCGTCTGCTGAAGTATCTGGGAAGGCTAATATAGGTGGAGAAGTTAACCGAGCCTTCAAAGCATCGAACGCCTGTTGACACTCGCTGGTCCATAAAAATTTTCGTCCTTTGTGGGTTAATCGGTGTAAAGGTGCTGCTAATGATGCGAAATCACGTACGAAGCGTCTATAGTAAGAAGCTAGTCCAAGGAAGCTACGAACGTCTTCAGGTGATTTTGGTTGCGGCCAATTAACAATCACACGTGTCTTTTCTTTATGTTGCCACTCCATCTTCTGTAATGCGGTACCCTAAGAAAAGCACTTCTTTTTGCAATAGTCGACATTTAGATGGTTTAACTTTTAGGTTATGCTGCTTAATTCGTTGTAGGACTGCCTTCAAATTGGCATTATGTTGTTCTGGCGTGCTGCCATATACAATAATATCGTCAAGGTAGATTAAGCACTGGTGCGGTACGAGACCTTGCAGAACTGTCTGCATTAATCGTTGGAAAGTGGCTGGGGCATTAGTTAACCCAAACGGCATCACTTGAAACTCATATAGACCATTGGGTACTGTGAATGCAGTCTTTTTTCTATCTTGAGGTCGGACTTCCACTTGCCAATACCCTGATGCTAAGTCTAAAGTCGAGAACCAACGAGCGCCTTTCATGGCATCTAATGTAGCGTCTATACGTGGAAGTGGAAAAGAATCACGCTTAGTTATAGCGTTAAGGCGGCGGTAGTCTACGCATAGTCGTAGGGAAGAGTCTTTCTTTTTCACTAAAACGATAGGCGATGCCCATGGTGATGAAGATGGTACAATAATCTTTTTTTCTAACATATCTTTTATCATGGATTCTAAATGAGGTTGATAATGCACCGGGACTCTGCGAGGTGGTTGGCGTAATGGCATGTGGTCACCTGTGACAATGGAATGTTGCACAATGGTTGTCCGATTTCCAGAAATGTTCTCCGAGAAAACAGTGCTAAATCGTTGGAGTACGTCAATGGTAGCCCGACGGTCCTTTTCACTTATTAATTGGTTATCTTGTACCTGACGTACAATCTCTGCAGTTCCCACCTGGGCTACGGACTTAGTTGGTATTTCATGGTGTTGTATTTGTACGACAACTCCACCAATATTCGCTTCTGACTTATTCATGTGTATAGAGACCTGGTATTTTAACATGAAGTCGACCCCGAGAATCATGTCCCAAGTCAGTGTGGGGCAAACCCAGAATTCATGTTGAAAAGGCTTCTTGTCAATCGTCAGCTCTAACCCTATCTTAGAACACGCTTTCAAGGGTTCTCCGCTCGCGGTAATTAAGGTAGAAGAGCGTTGTTTCCGCTGAGTGCTAGGGTTAAGTTTCTGCAAGAGGTCTTCCTTAATCAAGGATACTGAAGCTCCTGTATCTAATAGTATATTAATCTCAGTACTTTGCACTCTACCCTTAATAGTAACAGGGCACAAATGTTTAACATAGCAAGACGATATATGTAAACGACACTGCTTACCTCTGTTTTTCACGCGGTTATGCCCGCATTTCTTGGCATTTTTGCCGAAACGTCTGCAATAGAAGCATTCTGTTTGCTGGCCTCGATAGTTGTCTCTTGACGACCGTCCGTTCCATGTGGGGGTCGGCTGCCCTCGTCTACTATTCTGGTCAGGGAACTCTCTAACAGCCGCGGCGCTTTGAAAGCTATCTTGTCGATTAGGTTCGGTAGCTTCATCGATAGTCATCACGGTTGGTCGATAGGTCGCCAATGGAACTGACAGTCTTTCAGCAGTCAACAACCGAAGTGCCGTTCGTTTCAAGTCGGCTGTGTCAGCCGGTGGCACTCGAAGTAGATGTTCTCGCAGTGCACCTGGCAGCAGTCCTTCAATAAAACGGGAGCGTGTGATGTCTTCTCGCCCCAAGATGTCCAGGCTAGGGAATGCCTGGGTTGCTATCTGCTGTAATGAGTGAAGATAGTCGATGGGGCTTTCATGAGGTTTCTGGTGGCGAGACAAAAACTGCATTGTCATCTGTTGGGTGTCTACAGGCGGGGAAAAACAGTCGTCTAAAATCCTCCAGTTTTGTGGGAGCGTGTTACTGGCCGCAAAACCGTTTGCTATAGCCCTGCGTACTGCTTCATCGCTCAGATAGGAAACAAGGTAGTTGAAATGCTCGGACAATGGAACTCTCTGCAGGTACGCTGTGACTTTAAACTTCCAAACGGAGTAATCTGATGATGTTTCGAGCAGTGGTGGTTGATGTGGAGTTGAACTGGAAGTAGCCCTGATTGGAATCAAAGGGGGTTCGTCTAGGTTCTCATCGCGTTTTTCCATCTCACCTCCGACACCAGTTGTAACACGTGTAATCAGCAGCCACTGGAAGATGGGAAGACCTAAAGCCACAACACACACAATATTAACTGAACACTCTACACCACAGAGAGAACGAGGAATGGAGGACAATGGACGTTTATTTTTAAAATTAAAATTCGCGGGGGCTGTACAGAAAGAGGGCTAGTTTACAAAACGGTCTTATGAATCATCCTGTAAGTTTAGTGCATGCAGGGCTTGCTCTTCTTCTTCCAAAGCGTTTATTCTTGCTTGCCCTGCAATAGAAAGAAAACAAAATCTATTAACAACATCATACATGATGATTTTAATCCCGTTACAGGTCTTTATTTCGATCTTCGCGCGGTGACAGTGGAGCATGGGATTATCTGTTCAAACAAACAAAGGCTCTCAACAGTCAATATAAGATAATAGGGAATATAACGCTTATACAAAACAAGGAAGTGAATGAATACTTGAACAATACTGTTTTGGCATATGCTTGGTTGTTTGGGGTCAACTCTGAACCAACCAACCTTAGCTGTTACATATTAACTAGAAGTGAGGCTGACGGCTTTGTAGTTTCGTGAAATTTGTCTTAAGTCCACATCCGACTAACAGTTGGATCCTTCCAATACACTGGTAGCTAACTCTGACTGGGTCAAGTCATAAATATCGTAGTAAAGATTCGACAGATGTCTTATGTTCCATATGTTCTACAATTGTCGAAATACTATCCTTGCTTTGTCACTCCATGACTTCAAATGCGCATCAGATCCCCCTTGCTTATCAACGTTACGGCCCACGTATGTGAAAGACTCCACCTCTTTCGAAGCCTCTACATCAAATGTGATCCAGTTTGTGCTCGTCGTGTTGCATTTGAGGATCTTGCTTTTTCTCTTTCGTATGTCGGGGCATATTGCAGCAGTGGTTGCTGCAACACCAACCGTCGTCACCTGAACTTATTGCCGCGGATGGGATAGAAGTGTTATGTCTCCTGAGAAGTTAAAATCATCCTAGCTGTCCATTATATTCTGCGCCTCTCCTGAAATTTAGAGTTGCCCATAATCCATTTGACCACAAGATAAAGAAAAAAATAGATAAAATAAGCAGCCTTATCTGATACCGGTTGCACGAAGTAATTTCCAGAGGATGTTCTGAATTATTCTTCAGACTGTTGAACAGAGAGTCTCGGTATAGCCGATTTCAGAACAAGTAAGGTATTTAGCTTGATAAAATTTGTCTAATTCCAAGACATAAATTAAGACCGTTAGATTCCAAGAGACAATTGTCTATGGTGTCGCAATTTGGTCCATCGCTTGTTTGTTTAAAAGCCCCTGGAGCATTTTTGAGCAGGTCTCGGAAACTCGGTATATGATGATTCTACTATCTGAATCTCTTCTGATGAAATGATTGCAAAGCCACCAAAAGCCAAGATTAATAAAATACAAGATGTTCTTGGATTGTTCGCAAAAGTAACTTCATGTATAATATCTTACCTGGCCACTTACTAGACGAGTTGCGTCACATAGTATACTTATGCTCAACGGACCTTTAAATAATCATGTACTCAATACAACTAACATTGATCAGCACGAAAACTATATATCTCAAAGATTCATTTACCTCTACAACTTCCATATAATGATACTCTTTGTTTCACCATACACGCAAACGTAGTGCCCCTAATGTACTATTTTTTAGTCCAGACCAAATTAATAATGTTTCTATATTTATATTAATGGTCCTCCAGTTATAACTCTGTTATTGTATTATGTCCCTCTAATCGCCTAAGGTTTTGGTAACTAAGGAAATACCTTAACAATGTCGGTCATCCACAATATGACCCAAAGCTTCTCTGACAGAATTAGGTACTGTACAACAAAAGGTGGTTATTAATTACAACTATTAAGTGCCATAAAATTGGCATCTTAGGATCTTACTGTTATTAATTCGGCCTAATGTGGAGGAAATTCTATGTAGTTAATTCTATCATGCAACACATTTCTGTTACAACGAGTTCCCTGGAACATTTGGATGGCTATATACTTGACAGTATTGAGATATTTGTATGTTTCATATTTAGAGTTGTTTTAATAGCACCTTGAACATTACTAAATGATTACTATCTTCTGATGGAACTGTATATTATTCACAAAACCCTTTGCAAGATCCTTTTCGTAAGCTTTAGTGTGGATACACATGTATATAGGTGAAAGTCCCTCCACATACATGTCTATGTAACAACAGCTGTATGTTCGACTTTTTAGTGTAATGTTTTCCTTCTAGTTACCTTCAGTTTTACATTTTCTTTATGTCAGGCTCTAGATGAAAACTGTCATTATTTACTTTAACCACAGTGTCTTCGCATCTTCACATGCAACATCATTTGTGTAATTTTGATGATGCTGTTGACTTCGTTTTAATTAATTTTTAAACTTGGCGGTTCCCATACTGCTCCTTTCTGGTCCCGTTGTTGCTACTTAAATCAGTTAAGTTGAGCTACCAGTTAAATCCGAAATAAAGTTTCTGGATTTTTTGAGGTTTTTCTCCTACTGACAAGCATTTAGACCATATTCTTTGTAGGTTCGATTATTAGATGTTTACTACAGCTTGACTGCATAGATTTTGTACAAATCGTTCAGCTACCTGCACTCTGGCAACTTAATTATTCGACTGTTAACCGATTTGTAGGAGATACCTTCACAATTTGGCAGGTGACTAGCTTTAAGGTGTTCAGTAATTTATCTAACTGATGTATTTTAGAGTAGACTGTACAAGTTCTGTCGAGCAATCTGATGGGCTTTATAGCCTAGTGGATTCTTTCGCCTGGGTAATACCGCGTAATTCTTACTCGCAATTTTTCTGATTAGAACCATACCCCCTCTAATTCTGTGTTCTGAGTTTATTTATGGAAAAGACAAGTTTTTAACGCTTAACTGGAGATCAAAGAAAACCTAAGCTATAATGGTTTGAATATAACGCTGTCGATTTTCTACAGGAGTGGCATAGAAGTAAATGGACTCAATACTACTCGACGCCGCTGTCATTACTCTCCACAGTCATGAACTGTACGATTAAATTATTTAGATTAGTGAATATAACTAATTTTTTTATGTTCCATCGGATAGTTTGATCACACGTTTTCGTTCTTTCACTTTTTCACATCACATTGTCTTTTTTACAAGGCCTATGTCAAAGAAGTGTAACTTGAATGTCCAACACCTATTTGTATGTGTTGTGCTATAAAGTTGAATATTGCAGTTTGAATGCCGAAAACAATTTAACACAGCAAATTTTATTCGATTTGACCAAACCGCTGCGTTCCTCTCTAGAGAGTACTGAGCTTCCCTGATTCTCTTACAGTCAACTCTTATAATGGCTGAGGCTGCATAGCAGTCATTTCAGAACGTAACAATAGGAGTAGGTCAACAATGGTGAACGCCGGAGGAATCAGTCGAAATGCAATGGCTCAGTCATGGAGGTGCGGTCACTACAACCTCTTGCTTTTCGTACTGAATATGTTACTCCCTTCCCAGCTCAAATGTGCTTTTCATAAATGCTAGACGTCATCTTGCTGATTGCCACGTAGGACGAGTCATTGTGGACAAGGATGTGACTTTCACGTAAGATCTTATAGATTAAGCGGTTATATCATTACAAATCTAAGACTTTGGGATTACGTCAGTTAAATTGGTAGTAACAGTACCGAACTAAATCATAATTCTACAAGACTGCTCCTTCAAGATATAAAAGAACTGAATGATAAACTACCAACTAACTGAATAGATGAACGAATCAAGGGCATAATCAACGCTTATGATGAGTACCACGCCAAAATAATAAGAACATGACAACTTACTCATATCTACCAAGAAAAAAATTGTAACTGAATATTTGCAACAGTAAAAGAAATGGATTGACACCATAAAGACGATCATCACTCAATAATTTCAATTATAAATACATCAGACAGTCGGTGTCTTCTTATCTATCGTAAATAAGACATATAATACTGTAGTAAGGCTAAAATTATTGTAAAAACCTGCCACCCCAACATACACAATTTATAACTAATAAAAACACATCAACCAAATCGTAATGTTACCTACATACTCAAGAAGCAAGTGTTTTAAACGGTACACACCAACGTCCTTATCAGGGATGCAAAAAATTTATCAACTAAAAATAGGAATGATCAATCTCGGTTGAGGCACATCTATGGACAGCAATCACTGGATAGGAAATGAAACAAAATATCAAAGAATTCGTAGAGACAACCAATGCAACACGGCAGTTGTGCCGTGATTCCATGTGACCTCTTCTCCAGAAAATCCTACAGGCTTCACCAACCATGTTTAGCAGGAAGAGGTACGTCTAGGGTACTGTTTTGTTAATATCCAGAATCAGATATACAGTGGAATCTAGTTTATTAGCTGCTTTGCCATGAGACCGAACAAGGACTAACATAAGGGTCTGTAATAACTGTCAAATTCATAACCCTGCTATGGGACGACCTTAGTTCTCAAGTGTCCCGGTAGATATATTAGGATCACGCCCGTTGACTAGAGATCAGTCCACTCCTTAGATTAACTGACAAATTAAGAAGGATCACGGTAGTCGGGACTGCGATCCAACTGCTCATCAAGACGGGTCGCAACCTCAGCGTACCCAAAAGTCTGGGAAAACTATGACTCTTCAGTAACCACGGCCCTTAGAGATAGATCTGACCTTCCTCTCAGCTTGCGGGATACAAACGACATGATGCTTTGAGAAGCGTACACAGGAAGTTAAAACATCCCAGAATCGAGTCACTGGTGGTTACTTTGGCTTATCCGTGGGAAAAGATTACAAGCACATTATGTAGCGTACACTAACACCCCTGACGTAAATGTTCTGCTGGACAGTCGCTTACTGTAATCAGAAAGGGATGTAAATATGTTGATTAATTTACTATTTTCTGGTCCGAACCTCATTTGTAAAATTCCGAGGGTGTTCTTTTATGAAAGAAACAATACTGTGCAAGGTATCCCAGAAAACACGGACTACGATATTCTGGAGTGAAAAATTGTAAAGTGGTCCTTAAAGCTTGTAAACATATTGACTCAACAAGTGATGAGACTAGCCAAAAAGGAAAAGGACTGAAGACGATGGTCAATGAAGATTACGCCCTCAGCGTCTCGCGTAGCGGCGGCCGCTGTCGAAGCATTTCGTGTCAACAGACGCCGGCTGCTTACTGGAATCCATACGCATCCGGACAGGCCACCTGATGCCAGGATCAAACACAAAAGCAAGTTGGAGCTAACTGGTATAGTTGTAGACTGTATAGATCATAAAAAACGTGGAAGATATATGAGCTACCAACTCGGAAAACTTCGTGTTGGTAGGTTACCTGACTATTCACACAAGGCTCATACAGATAAACAGGATGAGGAGGCTCACACGTCTATGAGTGGAGTTATTGGTGATTCAATGCTGCTACATACGGAAGCTCGTTAAGCTCGGTCCAAAAGTATTTGAATTATTTGAACTTTCGAAACGCGATTTATAAGTCCTGCGTTACTTTTGCGAGTAAGTGTCGCATGTGGTAGGAATTATTTACCAAGTATTTGAGAGGTCTTGCGAAACAAGTGTTTTGTCAGCGTGATACAGCTCAACGACGTGTTAGATCCAGAACACACCTGATGACACGCTATTTCTCATTCCCTTCAAGATGATATTGCCACATACCGTCTGGAGTTATGAGTGGATGTATTTCGTAAGTAATTTTTGCAATCGCTCTCAGATGTCCCTAATGAGTTCCACGAAACTCATGTCCTGTCGGTGACGAAATTTCTGATTTCTGAGTCTCAGTAAATCTAATTGTTCTGATGAGTTAAAGATCGCCCGTGTCTTGGTTTTGTAACAATCTGTTTGAGACTCTTTAATCTCATTGACATTCACAAAAATCCTTGTCACGCAAAATAACGTAAAAGTGTCTCATGGGAGCTAGGGGCTCGGGTGCTGTTAGCAGAATGGATGAGGCATAAGTATCGGCACTTCGACGCATTAAAACCCCAGGCTGCTTCTCCTTACTCATGAAAATCAACGGATTTTTTTATATCTACAGACGCTGCCTATGGTGTGTTGCCCAGGATTCCTGCTAGCACAAGACATCCATGCTGTCGGAAACTCGAAGTGATCCACCTGGTCAATGGCTCATAGCAACTAGGTGGTGTCTCATTAAAAGATGTGTCATCATGCTTCTGATTATACTGAGTAGTTCAAACCATCTCAACTGATTATTTAAAAGTGATTGTCACCGCAGTGACCAATGGTCCATGTAACGAAAGGTCACTCAGCGAGAATCGGACACAACTCTTATTTATTTATTTATTTGAACACATAAATCTTGGTACAAGAGGGTACCAAATATATATGTGCCACACAAAACAATGAGAATTCGAATAGAAGAAGGAAACAAAAAATGAAAGGTGAGGAGCGTTAAAAAAGAACAATAGCGAACGGATTAGTGTAAGGTAGTGTAATTATAATAATAACGACGGGGGAAACAGAAACGTACAATCCGAAGAGATCTGGCAGTTAAGGAAGAAGCACCCAGCATTGGACACAACCCTAACCCCACATTTCCCCATTAATGTATGTGGTGCATGTAAAGCCTTCGCTACTGACGTGACACAAGCAGCCTCCGTAGAAGGTGTTGAAAGAAGACCGGATTGTAATATACAGACTCACTGAATACCGTCTTTAATACGTTCTGAATTTTCTGTGTATATTGCAGTAAGAATTGCTCAACTAACCACACTATGCCATCAGTGGTCTGGAAAAGTCGCCTAATACCAATACACAAGCACAGAATCAGTTAGTTTGCGTCAACTAGTTGCTAAGTTAGTATGGTAATAAATCTATCAGTTGTGCTGTTGATAGATTTTAGAACCAGCTAATAATTTTTCAATGTCAATTGAATGTGACATGTGAATCCTAAATTACAAGTATTTGGGATTGATACTAAAAACTTCTTGATCTCCAATAGACGGACGCTTGTGATCGATATTTTTCAGTGGTATATATCCCTCCTTGCTACTAACTTAAATCTTATATAAACTTGTGTTCTTATTTTATTTGTCCCTGTTTCCACTGTAATTCTGACTTTTGTCATTAGTTCGTCACTGTTAGTACTCACAAGCTCTCTGTTACTAACCGGTTCCTTACCAGAGCGTTATTCTCAATGAAATGTTTGACATAGTTGTTCTTACACTTTTCACTCCGTTAAAACTTATCACGGTAAGACTATAATTTGTGGACGACCTTTGTGCGACACCAGGCTGACCTTGAGAGTGTCCACCTAATAACCAGGACCAAATAAGGGTTATAAACCTGTGTGAGGAAGTAGAATTATAACTTACAGTTGATGATTAGGGTTAGAAATTAGATTTAGGATTTTAGTCACGAACTGATATTAGTTATAATGCCAAAACTCTATTTATCCGAATGAATGAGTGGATTTCGCGCCAAAATCCGAGACCTGTTATCTTATACGTGATTGCTTCGTTCATAAATTATAGTCTTGCCCTTATCACTTTCAACGTTTGCAGTTTAGTCTCATCCAGTCAGTCAATCATACGAGAAGTAGAACCCGGCACATGCTTTTTAGTTGCTACACCATATTATCACAGTGAGACGCCAGAGTAGTTTAGGTTGTAACAGTATTAGTGGTATTAGAAAAGATTCTTAATAGAAAATATAGATTCTAGGAATAAGAACAAAATTTTTGAAATTAAAAAAATTAATATCTGAGGAAAGACAAAGAGCGGATACAACTGCAATATCGGGAAAGACTGAATTATCTCACCCAAGTCTCACCATTCATTACAGCAATCTGCCAGGTAGTCTGCATCTACCCACACAACCCAGTTCAGCAGTCAGTGACTAGATAGAGTAGTGCAAAATTCTAGTTTTGGCGCCCCTGTCTTTCTTCTAACTTGTTCATACATCAACTATCACCGCACTTCGAGGTAGGCAGTGGTTGAATGTACGTAGTACATGTTCCAAACAGAAGATAAAAACTCTCGACCTCACTAATAAATTTTCTGGAATTACTGTGTCTAAACTCAATATTCTCCACTCAGTGGTCCCAGAATGCATGAGAAACGCTTAAAAGGCGTCTGTAATAGAGTACTAGTAACTTACAAATACCCCCTACTTCTGAAGAACATATTGCGCAACCACAAAGTAAAACATAATACTGTTGCGTGTTGTATTCCTCCTTTAGCTGACCAAAACCAACTAGACTTTCTGAATCTTTCCCGGAATTTTGTCAGATATCGACCCATCAGGGCTAATGAAACTTCCAGAATAAGTGAGGTACTTGACACGCTCAATTACTTCGCTCCCTGTTTAAGGCATATTGAATAGCTTCCATCACCTAACCCAAGAAGTTTGTTCCATGTATGCTTATCTGAGGGCAATGGATGTAGGGATTTAGTTGGTTTAGCGACTACAATATTTGGCTTTCAATTAGTTAGCTGGAGGGGGGGCGAACCCTATTCTACATACCGTGGTTTCAGAAGTCAAGAGGTATCATTAGCCTTCTTACTAGGTTATGAAATTATGCAGAATACGTAAAAAAGTATGTAGGAAACGTCACATTAACATTATTCATGAGTCCTAAGCTATTGTTAACCAACCTTTGTTAGTTATTCGACGCTAAGTATTATTGAAGTGCTTCTAAAAATCCACTTGTCTGTTTTACTATACATAGTATAGTAGGGGAGAATCAAACTCAGAGTAGTTTAATCTTAATATCCATCTATTTGCTTTTGTCTCTGACTGATTCCCGTCTTTTTGTACCATAAAATTAATAGAAGTTCGATGAAGTAATATTTTGTTTTCCCTAATAGTGAATTATTGTTTGGCATTCAAATTAACTTGGATACTATTCTATCATGTATATGCTCTGAAAGATGAATCTAACAATCTACTCAACAGTTCTTCAGTTAGTATCGAGAGAACTACTAACAGCCATGTTAATGTAAGTAGTATCAAATTTTAAATATTAAGCGACAAAATTATTAGTTGTCAATCCTTAAATCCAATTTACCTACATTGGACTATGTTTTCACATCTGTTAATGTTACACCGAAAGTAAGTAGTAGAAAAGTAAATATAAATTTGATTTGTCAGTCAAAGCTTACAACATCAAACGTCACCGTTATTTCCGAAGATATGTCGACTACCAAACTTTCGAATTCTACTAAGCAGTTGGATAAATTTTTATCAGAGAAAACTACAGAGGTTAGACGTATAACAACTGGAACGCATACTATCCAAGAGGAAGAAGTTGCTGAAATCGATGAGTTTGAAAAAAACAAATTAGGCGAAAGCTCTACCCATTCAGGCGATTCACATGCTGACCTAATACAAGAGCCACGAAGAAAAGATTCCAAGGATAGTGGGCAACAGATAGATCCCGGACAGTCTATATTTGACAGAAAGCATCCTACCGAATCTGAGTCTAAAAAATCCAATGGATTCATATATCAAGGCGACTCTGGTACTGTAGTTCACGATAAATTATGTAAGTCCATGTTTTTGTGTGTAAAATGAGGTAATAATGTATGAAACGTGAAATGTGTTATTATTTGATTTTGAAACTATCAACATTTATATGAGAATAATAGTGAACGTGGCTCATCGTTAGTCAGTTATTGCTTCGTGACATAATTTTGCAAGTATCGAAAATATTTGGCAAATGCATCCTATAAATAGTCTGCTTTCACTGGTTTATATTGAGCAATTGAGGTTGCAGTTTTTTGTCTTGAGTATTATTCAAAAAGTTATGAGACCTTAGAAAACTCTTCCAGTATTTAACATTTTGTATGTTTTACTTTTGAAATTTTCAGCTAACCGTTTTCTTGCCGAAAGTTTTAGCTTGTTTTTCGCTGTTGTCAAAAACAGAAAGTGCCATGATAAAATAGTCATATTATTTTAACGCTTATGAGTTACATATTTCCTTAATATGGTTTGTAACTTAAAGTAAAAAACTCAGTGACATTCACTCAGGACCTTGATTTTATGTTAAATAGGTGCATCGACTATATATAATAACAGGCATGATCAGCTTGATATATATAGTAACATTAAATACATAGGACATATGAGATATTAGATTATTTGTAGTGTTATAGTTCAACATTGTTTAGGTAGTACGTTTTTCACACGTATTAGAGCAATAATTTATATATTCTAAAAATAATAATTACACAATTCACGCCAGTTTAGAGGCATAATGTACAGAACAAACATGTGGTTGAAGAAAGTTTTAAGTATACTAGTTCAGTAATTGTTTAGGTAGTACATGTACTAAAGCGATCCTATGCATCAGCCGGGAATTTTTAATATTTCTTAAATGGACAGCCTGTTGATTTATGAACGGAGTAATTAAGGTCAATCCGTGTGCCTGATCGAATTAATGATAATTATCTACAACTAAAGAAATTAAAACGAAAACACAGAGCACGGGAAATCAAAGCAGTAATTACGTAAATATATGAATCAGGTCTACCTAAATGCGTGTGTCATGTGACACAGTGATATACTGTTTATGTTATTCGAATTAGTTAAACTTGCTAGGGACGGTGTTAACATATTGACAGCAAGTGGGTGGTTTTACTTAGGGAATGCACTAATAAAGATGGCTAAACATTTATAGTTCCTATAATATCACTTGTGGAATGAGATACACTTACAGGTGCTAGAACATTCAATGCATTTTCAGAGGAGCAGTATGCATCAATGCACCGATTAAATAATGGGATTGGTTTTATCGTACAGATAGATTGTAGTAGATTATTCCAGAGTCTAGAAAATTTACAGGTAAAGAAATTCATATAGGGGAATGATTTGGAATAAGTTTTTTTCACTAGTAACAAGGAATTACAGATGTCATAATGAGAAGTTTCTGCATATTGAATCACGTGATTGGATGGAAGGGATAGTTTATTAAGTATTTTGAAAAGATAAGATTTAGTTTGAGTCTCTTCTTCCACAACCCGACCGAAGCTGCTACCTTGACGCGGTGGTCGGGCTTGCCTATCGTGATAACCCAACCGAGCTATATTGGCTGGAACATATGTTCCTGTAGGTTCTACCATGCCAGGCAGGTCGATTGGTGAACGGTAAGACTAAAAGCAGCAACTCAAGGTCTGAGGGCGAAGTCGTACTGCTGACTGTACAGAGGTGTGACAGCAGTAAAGTGTTCCTTTCGGACAACCAGCATCTGCAGCGATGCTGCCTTCCCACAAGGAGGGGTGAGGTTAGAAAAGGTCGACCCTAAAAATGTCACACCTCACCTTACCTCACGGATTTCCGTCTCCGGTGGTAAGGCCCTTTGAAGAGCGGAGCTAACACATTAAAAACCTAACACGAAAAGACCGTGCGCCACCGGCCCCAAGCAGTTGTCCCTTGGGCTCTGCGGTCACGCTCCCAGGTCGTCAAGACCAACACTAATCCAATTTCCTTTTCAGGTTCCTCAAGAAATACCCTTCCACGGTGTGGGCAGCCGGGAAGTGACATCAGCCCTCATACCCGTAACAGCACACGAGACCAAGTTGGCCACATTCAAATCCTTCCTACACCTCCTAATACCTCTCTTATCTCCATGACTAACCCTCCTCACGTTTCTATATTATCTCGCACCGCTAGGGCAAACGATTCGAGTACGCGGAACGCTATTCCTGGTCTCCTGAAACCACGCTCTAAACTACACGTAAGAGCTTTTAACGTACGAACACTTTGCCAAATAGGACAGCAGGCTTCCTTAGCTAGGACTTTAGAATCTCGCGCCATCGATGTGTGCTGCGTCTCCGAAACGCGCATACAAGATCCGAGTAGCGTCATTCATTCGACCTCACCATGCCAAAATAAAGAACCGACTCGATTTACGCTTCGTGTATCTGGAAGCCCTGATTCTGTTTTCCGTGGCCTCGCCGGCGTAGGTATAGCATTGAGTCCCAGAGCAGAACTAGCTCTCTTAGAGTGGATCCCAGTAGACAGCCGCTTGTGCGCTGTCCGACTGAACGGAACAGTAAGAATCCGGAAAGATAGGGACACTCGTCGTTGCCTCTTCGTCGTCTCTGCCTATTCTCCCACTGACTGCAGCTCAAGTGATGTAAAAGATGAGTTTTACAGAAAGCTTTCCGACCTTCTCCGAAAAGCTAGGCGCTCTGATGTAGTAATAGTGGCCGGTGACTTTATTGCTCAAGTAGGTAAACTAAGCGATAGAGAAAGACACCTAGGTGGATCTTATGGTGTCGTGGCTCAAAGAACAGATAATGGCAATCGTCTGTTGCAGCTATGCTCAGTTAACCGCCTGTTCCTTGCAAATACTAACTTTAAGCATAAGGAAAAACATCTTTTAACATGGCGACCCCCTAATTCGTCCCAACGTTGGACGCAAATAGATCACATCGCTATCAGCCACCGATGGAGGGGCTCGATAGAAGACTCGCTCACTCTGGAGCACATGCTTAGATTCAGATCGTGCTCTAGTACGAGCGCGTATCTGTCTGAGTCTTACTGGACGTAGGAAAGACGCTGCAAGGAAACCGCTCATGGCCCTACTTAATGATAGTCAAGCTAAGAGTATATTTCAGGAACAACTAGAAAAACAGATAGGCAGCCATGTATGTGATGCCCACCCCGATGCAGCATGGAATGATATCCGAAAAGCTGTGGAAACAGCAGTGATATCTGCTAGTAAGGTAAACCAGAAGGTTAGGGAGCAACACTGGATCTCAGCAGCATCTACCGCACTGATAGATGCTAGAAAACTCATTTCATCTGGATCTGAACATAACGAAGAGCGGAGTCGGCTTAAGCACAAGCTGACAAGAAGCCTACGCAATGATCGCGAACAGTGGTGGGTAGCGAAAGCAAGAGAGATGGAAAAGGCATAGGCAATAGGTAATAGCAGACAATTGTTCAGACTCGTTAAGGAAACCGACTGTTAGAGAAACACTCTCAGAGAAAGATGGACATATTATTCATTCTCAATCCAGGAGATTGGATCGATGGGCAGAACACTTTAGGGATCAGTTCAACTGAAGTTCAGCCACACTTTGGTTTCCCACGATCTCCAGTCAACCTGAATGGCAAGTTAGTGTAGGTCCTCCGACTCTTGACGAAGTTGAAAAAGCCATAGGAAATCTGAAACGAGGGAGAGCAGCAGGCCCTGACAGGTTTACTCCTGAGATTTTTAAGGATGGTGGTCCAGTATTAGCAATGAGATTAACCGAGGTCTTAGGTAGAATTTGGGAACTGGACGTAATCCCATCTGACTGGTCTCAATCACTGATTGTGCCAGTCTATAAGAAAGGACAAAAGTCCTCTTGTGACAATCACAGAGGAATCAGTTTGACTAATATAGTGTCTAAAATATTAGCCTCAATAATACTTCGACGCCTAATCAAAGCTCGTGAAGAGCAGATTAGAGAAAACCAGGCCGGTTTTCGACCTGGACGTGGTTGTATAGATCAGATATTCACACTACGTCAGGTTCTAGAACACAGACACACATTCAGACGCCCCACAATGGTAGTATTTCTCGACCTTAAGGCGGCATTCGACTCTGTTGATCGTGAGGTTCTATGGCAGTGTTTGTCACTGAAAGGAGTACCAAATAAGTACATTAACCTTATAAAGGCTCTCTACTCGAACACATCTGGTAGAGTGAGAGCTTATGGCGAACTGTCATCAGAATTGATTACCTCAATTGGTGTTCGTCAGGGCTGCCCACTCCATTTTTGTTCAACTTTGTCGTCGACGTACTTTTAGAGATAACACTCCTCATCTGACTTTACAGGGGTTGTACTTCTACCGGGAGGTTCACTTGCTGACTTAGAATATGCTAATGACATAGTTTTATTTTGTGAAGACGCTGACAAAATGCAGAGTCTTCTGACCACTCTAAGCAACAATGCAAGCATGTTCGGGATGCGATTCTCTCCCTCGAAATGCAAAATGTGGCTTCAGGATTGGGTTACATCGACACCCAAACTAGTGATAGGGAGTGAAGTAATTGAGCGTGTCGATCGCTTCACTTATCTTGGAAGTCTCATCAGCACCTGTGGGCTGGTGTGTGACGAAATCTCAGCACTGATACAGAAGGCTCGACTAGCTTTTACCAACTTGCGTCATTTATGGCGTAGGCGAGATATCCGTCTATCAACCAAAGGACGTGTTTACTGCGCAGCAGTTCGTCCCGTCCTACTTTATGGCGGTGAAACATGGCCGGTAAGAGTAGAGGATATCCGTAGGTTACTAGTATTCGATCATAGGTGTCTTCGAAACATTGCTCGTATATCATGTGACCATCGAGTAAGTAATGCAGTTGTTAGGAAACGGGTACTAGGTAAGGCTGGCAAATCAATTAATGAAGTAGTGAAACTTCATCAGTTGAGATGGCTGTGACATGTGTTACGTATGCCCAACGACCGACTGCCTCGACGAGCGATGTTCAATGGTATAGGAGTAGATTGGAAGAAAGCTAGGGGTGGCCAGACCAAAACATGGCACAAA